CTGGTACCTTATTAACTTGATTCTACATTGTCACTATGATGGTCAAATCTCCAAAATGACTGACGGGTTAATGCAACAAGGTTGGCAGTCATGTGTCTATAGAACCTCATGTTGGCAGCATTTATTTAAACTGAAAATGGGCTGTCCTATGTAACAGACACTTTTTTTCCTTTTAAATCAGTGAGTAAACTTTGAATAAAAAAAACAACATATTTTTTTATTTAATTTTTACTTTATTTAATTTAACAAATTTTAGAGTTTTAATTTGTCCTCCTTTAACCATGACATCTCAGTGGCTCGGTCAGTCTGAGAAATCATTGCACTGAATTACTAATATTTTAAATATAATGCTACATGGATAAACTCCTATGCTTTTGGTCTGTCCATATGTTGATAAACACTGGTATATTTATGTGTAGTGTTGGCACATAAATGACCTTGTAGTCAAGGTGGGTGTTCTGATTCGAGTACCTGTTCTCTCTCTGTAGAGTTTATCCATACACCTGACCAGCACAAAGGGTCCCATAGAAGTTCTGCTGTGCCCGGATGAGGAAAACGACCCCAGGAGTCCCGTAAAAAATGGGAACACAGACATCAATGGGAACTCTCCTTTCCTCAAAGTCCTTCAAGGTTGGTTTCAGATGGATAGTAGTGTACCGCAGCACTTTTTGTCATTCATAATGAAAAGCTGATCCATTCATTTTGCGTATACATATATCCATAGACTGAGTCAAAGAAAAAATATCATGACCATTTAAACACGTGGGGGGAAAAAATCCCCATTTCTATTACAGTCACAGAAATTGGCAACATTTAAACAGTTTTCTGTACTGAAATGAATGAAAACCACATGCTTTGTTTCATTGTTCTTAAATAGTATGAATGGATTGGTAAGAAAGGAGTTAAGTGTTCAGTGCTGATCTATAAGTGGTTCCAGAAGAGACGTTCAGATCTCACTAGATTTGCTTCCAGTGCAACAAAACAGCCGTACAGCTTCTTTGAATACCAATGGTACTCTTGGCTGTGTTGGTGTCATAACAAGTTGTCTTTCTCCTTCCACAGATCCCAGCTGCACAACCACTTCTCCTAACCCCTTTCTGGCTCCACCTCCCTCCTCTTCCTCAGCTGTCTCCGTCACAACTCTTTCACCCATCTCATCCCCTTACACCAGTCTCCTGCAGCAGACAGAAGACCAGATCCCCTCATCCCTGGGTCCTTTCTTAAACCTTGGGCCTACTCTTCTGGACCAAGAAGATGACTACCTGTTAGGTTTGGGAGACGACCAGGGAATTAGCGACTTGTTTGAATCCTGTGACTTTGATAAAATGCCCTCTCTTGGCCTGGATGAGCTCCTGGGCAGCTAGCATTAGGTGAACAAAACGGACGGACACACAGAGGGCTTTTTCTGTCCCACAGGGAGTACCGTGTTCTTTCATGGTATAACTAACAAACGTCATCAGCAGTGTAAAGCCTTTGATCTCCTTTTTAGTGGATGCTAATTTACATGGCTGGTTGGTTAAATGTAAATGGGGATGGGAAGGGTATCCACATCTTTGTATGGGTGTTACTATAGAGAGACAGCAAAGAGAGAACAGCTATAAGGAAACATCCCCCACAGTGCTTGGCATTACCTCACATCCGGGGTTATTGCATTGTGTTGAGCACAACCGTGCAGTTAGCAAAAAAACACCCTCGAGATTGGGAAAGAAGAAAAATCACATTGTCAAATCTTGAAGGATCCTGTCTGGGAATTTGTTTTGGCAAGGAAAAGGTCGATCTTCTTTGTTTTATCGTCGGGTGTGCAGAGCTACCCAGGTAACGCTTTAGATGTGTTGCTGCCAAGTGCTGTGGGTAGAGTTCAAGCTGATTTCATCCACAACAATGATCTGTGACCGAAGGCTTTTACTGCTGACTGTTAAATAGCCATCTTGTGTGTGCACATATGAAACATTTTTGGAAATTATAAAAAAAAAATATATATATATAAGAATGGAAACAGGGCTGATTTTGATGCACAGCACTTGCAACATAGTTAGAATAGTTAGGTTAGGCTGATTATAAAGTTCAGAGTATGAGTATTGGGTACATTTGGGTGTCCATTGAAAAATGAGTGTGGAAAATAACGGGAATATGCACTCTTGAGTCATTTAAGCAAGACATTTATTCCACATATTCCAGTGTCTCATCTCCTGACAAATACACAACTTGCTAAGTTGCTAAAGGAAGCTGGAAAAGCCATCATTTCTTGCCAGTGGGTAAATCTGAACACGTGATGTGCAAACTTAAAAATCATCTCCACCCTATACTCTTGATTTGGCGTATTTGGGAGTTGACTCCTCGACTCTCGCTGCTTTTTACCTTTCCCATCTTCATTAGCAGTAGCCTGCATAACTGAATCCCTTAATGTCTCCTCACTTAGACTGTGTGCAGTGCAATTATACTGTGGATTGAGCTATTCAGAGAAACCTGTATTTGAATCACTTACCACTCTGTGCACACTTCCTGCTCGGTGTGTACTGAGACTGTTGTTGGCTCTTTTTAGCTTCAATAACTGTTGAATTTTAATGGATTTTAAAACTGTAGAAATTACTTAACGTCTTGGGTCATCTAAGGGAAAAAAAACAGGATGAGATAGCCACTTATTTAAACTTCAGCATGTAATGAAGGGCTTTTTTCCTCTGTAACAAAATGTTTAAAAAAAATACAGCTATTTTGTAATTTAAGTGAATTCAGCGCAACTAAACCGTAGTGACTTGTGTTTGTTTAGAGCTACTGAATTTACCGTGGTTAGCCAGCAAAAAAGGCTTTATTACTTGCTGAAAAACAAGCTGAGAGGATGTAATTTTTTTCCACTTTAGGTATTAGAAACACCATCACAGTTCACTACCAGTAGCTTGTCTGATTACATCCCTTATAATAGTGAAGTGCAAAGAGACCTTGGCTTTTAGAGATCACAGGTGATATTGCTGCTGTTATTGTTGACTTATCCCCGCCCGACCTGATTGACGTGTGCCTGAGGAATCACGTGTGTGAGTTAATGTCAGAGTCGAGCTTGCGTTAAAGAGTAAGCCTGCCTGTGTGTAAATTGATGTACAGTTTTCTAATTTTTTTTCAGTGCACAAGGTACTGTAGGCTACCTCTCACTTAATGTTGCAAAATAGAAAATAGGGCGTTAAGAGATAAATGCCATAGTTTGTATGATTTTGAATTCTTTTGTTTTAGGAATTGCCCGCGTTTTATTTAGCAGTCATGTCGGAAAGCCCGACATTATAGTGGGAATACCGTTGGCCAAAAGCCAGACTTATACTGTCACATATTAATTTTCACCATTGCGGTGCACATTTGAAGCATAGAAAAGTGGATGAATGTATTGCAATACTTTTTAGTGTGTGTCGTTTTTGTTTTGCTTTTTTCTCCAATAAGTTATTTAGTTCCTGTGTCAGTGTTTTTGTTTTAATTATGTTTTTTAAATGGAGAGGCACCACTTAGACACAAAAAGGACATATTCAATAATCCCGGACGCAGGCAGTGATTCACAGTTGGTCTATCTGATGCAGAGACATTTCTGTGTTTTTCGCATCCCTGGTTTGGCTGTTCTCTGTTGGAGGTGTGTAGGAACTTTTGGAAACTTTTCCCCTGATATTCCTTACCATTTCTGCAATTCTCACTTTTTTGGAGAGGAATGACACCTCTCCAAGTGCCCCTATTATGTTCATGTACAACCTCGGTTTCATTATTGCTAAAGGAGCTAGAATATGTTTGCGTGCTTTAATGTTCAAAGAACACATTATACCGTACACTGCTGCAGCATTTCTGTTCACTTTGTCTGAAACTTGCACTTGCGTGCCTTGAATGCTCCACTCCCAATAATCCCCACAGTCTGCACTAAATGGCTAGTTGGCGTGAAAAAGGCAAGGTGACTTTATCTGACTACAGAAATGCAAAATATGTAAATGTGAACATCGCTTTGGACTGTATTAAAAATACAGGGTTGTGCATTCTTTTAGGGTCTGCCAAGTTAGCCACTAGGTGCAAGTGTTTTACACAGTGACCGAGAGGTTACAGAAGAAAATCCTCGAATGCAAATTTTATTCTATTTTGTTGTTTGGATGAACTTTATTTTTTGTGCTGGTGTGTTCTGTTTTTTTTGTTTTTTGTTTTTTCTTTTGAAGCATTTCACATCTGCAAAATTCTGACGCAAGAGCACGATGGGGGCAATTCAGGAAAAGCATGTTGACTTGTTAAAAAAATAGCCTCAACTCTGAGAAGAACATCCAGTCTCTTCATTATTTTAGTCTTTACAAAATGCACAAAAATGTCCTGATTCACAGCAGAGTTTCTCCACAGGCGTATTTATATTGGTGTATTTTACATGTATTCATGCAAAGTTTAAACACCCACTCTCCAGTTTACAGTAGTTAAAATATTTTCCCCCAAGGATTTCAAGCAACCAGAATCTGGTTGCTATATTTTATGTCCTTTTACATGAGGGATTTTTTTTGTGTGTGTATGTGTGTGGTGGAAAGATTGTGCCTTTCCATTGGTTTCTAATGGAATGTTGGAGATTTCGTGCACTGCTAAAGCTAGTGTCTGGTAATAATGAGTGACTTAAAATTGCAACTTTGTTTTTCATTTCGAAATGTGTGATTAGATCTTACTGAAGTGTATCGTTAGGCTAAGTATGATGCTAACTATGGTCCACATTGAAACAGCTTTGTTTTTATTTTCTTATGGTTATTCTTGAGCTGTTACCAAATACGATGTAATGATCAGTGAATATTCTGTAAAGCTTATGTAAAAAAACAAAAACAAACAAAAAACAAATCTGATTAGATTGTCTGTAAAATTATATTTCTGCCTGTTTTTGCTAATTACAGAACAGAGAGAGCAGTTTGCGATGTGAAGGCATGGGTGAACGAGCTCATGAATGTTGGAGATAAAATTGATGTTTTTTGATGTGTGTATTTCAGTTACATGCTTGTTTATGTACATCTGTTAAAATGAGGAATTTGAGCTGTGTGTATGTGTGTGCGTGT